GTCCTATCACTATTAGACCACTTAAAAAGTTAGTCCCGCTCCTCAGAAGCTCCCTTCAAAAACTGGAAGACTGAAATTAGGTGTCCCCAGAACTTTCTATTTTCCAGGATTAATAAGCCCAGCTCTCTCAACCTTTCTTCATAGGAAAACTGTTCCAGACCTCTGGTTATTTTAGTGGCCCTCCAGACTGGCTCTAACAGTTCCGCACCCTTCTTCTCCAGATCCCAGGTCTGGATGCAGTACTCAAGATGGAGCCAAACAAGGGCAGAGCAGAGGGCAACAAGCCCTCCCTCACTCTGCTGCCACCCCTCTTTTAATGCAGCCCAGGATGTGGTTGACCTCCCAGGTGGCAAGAGCAAACATTGCCTCAGATTCAGCATTTTGTCCATCAGGACCCCCAAGTTCTTCCTTGCAGGGCTGCTCACAGTGAGTTCTTCCCCCTATACACCTATCTGAGATTGCTCCGACCCAAGTGTAACACATCTTGCACATGTCCTTATTTACCTCATTTGGTTCATGTGGGGCCACTTTTCAAGCCTGTCCAGGGCTCTCTGGATAGCATCCCTTTCTTCTGTTGTGTCAAATGCACCACTCAGCTTGGAGTCACCAGTGAAGCTGCTGAGAGTACACTCGATACATACCACTGCCTGTGTCATTTACAAAGATGTTGGGACCAGTGATCTTCAACACAGACCCCTGGGGGACACTGCTTATGACTGGCCTCTGCCTGGACACAGAGCTGCTGACCACATAAATATCAGACTTGTGCATCCCTGCACCTAGCCCAACCTGTCCTCCAACCCATAACCTCAATAACCTCACTCCCAGATGAAACATCACTAAAAACAACAGTCTCTAAGCTGCCCCCACTGACTGCACGTGAATTTCAACTTTGTTCAAACGTCTGCACCTCAGCCAAACACATTCAGGTTATCAATGAGAAAACCCACCACCTGGGGATTCCCTCTTAATAAACATCACCTCCAACTCTGCAGCACAAGAACTTCAAAGAACAGGTTAAATATACTTCTAAATAGCTTACACGAAGAAAGCAGTGTTTTCCTCAGACCCATTCTCTAAGAAGACCGAAGAAGGGAGCTGATCTATTCCAAAGCAGATGCCTGGAACATAAACTTGCACCTTAAACAGCTAGAAAGTTTAGCAAAGTTATAAGCAACTGAAAGCAGACGCTCATAATAGGAAGTGCCAAGCTGTCCTAATTGACAGGCAGGACAAAGGCCACACCTGAAACAGAAGCATCACACCACCTGTACCTACTCCTGCTGGAGTACAAACTGAGGAAGACAAGAGTGTGCCCCACTGCTGCTCTATAGGGAGAGAAAATCACAACAGAACACTGCTTAAATGTTTTCTCATTTTTTCCAATAAACATCTCTCTTTTAAACAACAACAGGGAAATCATGATGCTGCTCTCCTTTTCGTTAAATATTTACATTTAGCAAAAATGACAAATATGCTTTGTTTAGGGGTGGAAGGGAAGGTTTCAGTGGTTAAACAAAAACTTTGCACTACATAAACATTTTGCTAATGCAAGTAAATATCCATCAAATTAAGCAAATGATCACAGCTGATAAAGCTGGCAATTATATTTCACATGAAAAATGCAGTGGGGGAGGGAGTTACTTCACTCTACATTGTCAAAAAAAACAACACCATAACAAGCCACCAATACAACTCTTTCTTTTAGGAGTAAAAAAAAAAGAAAACATTAAACATTTTCAGAAAATTACTTCCCATTTTCACCAAGCTTTATGAAAAACCTGCTAGAGCAAATTAGCAAAGGTTTAAATTTCCACCCTCTCGCTGTTGGTTGACTTATCCAAGGGGAGCAAATGGGATTCTAAAAGGAATCAAACGATCATCATCAGAAAGAGAGCAGAACAGAGCCCTTGACTATGCATAACAACACTGTGCATGCCAAAGCACACTACGTGGCATTGTCTCCATGCATTAACATTCAAACCTAATGTAAATCTCGTATTTACTTGTACAAGGATCCTTACAGTGCTGAGAAAACCTTTACAATATTTCTAATCCTCTTAGTAGGTATAGAGGATTTCAAGGCAGATTGTTTCCCCACTATCAAATCTACTTAATTTTAAGCTTGAAGACCATGGCTTTCTTTATCTCTTTGTTTAATAGAAAGCAAATGTAGTACCTGTAAACTCAGGTGAAACTAAGGCTTGATTGTTTAGTGACAAAGACATCATTTTTGTTTAGGGATCTGATACCTTAAAGTAACTTTGCCAAGAAACTTCAAAAAACAAGATGTTTCTGAAACAGTAAGATGAGAAAGGCAAGTCTGCTAGATCTCTCTAGGAGAGCTTATCTCTTGTGTTGCATGTTGGAGCCCTGTTGAAAGCACAAGGTCTCAGCAGGGGACCACAGACCATATCAGAATGAAATCACTAAGCAGAAATAATCTTAAGAAATGAAAAACAGTGCCCAGATCATCCAGCCCCCCTCCTAGACAATGCCAGTCTGTTCTCAACTGTGCACTTGGGAGTAGTGTGTGCCCCTATCTTGAAGTCTATATCCAAAATAACCATTCAATGAACACATAATTTCAGTGTCATCACCAGAGGAACATGACAGTTATACTGCCTCAAGAGCTCTGTCCATCTGCTCCAATAACCTCCCAACTCCTTAAGCTTTCCCCAGGACAACTAATTGTGCCAACCTGCACAATTCTGTGACATGGACAGCCATAGTAGGGAAAAAGCCTATTTTTAGACCTCATCCTCCATCTGCTCACACACAACTTTGCTTGGATATCAAGAGTGCACTTGAGTCTCCCTGCTGCCCTGTGTCTTACAACAGTCATGTCAGCTGGAGCCCAAGAAAGCTCCTGGGAAAGCATCTTTATAAGCAAATGGCTAGGAAAATTATGTGCTGTTCAAAATAAGACCATTCATGTGACCTGAGAAAAAGCTGTATTACTCAAGACAGTAAACTAATATGTTTATAAAGGGTCAGATATAATTCAGCCAATGAACATAAACAGCTGGCTTTTACTGACAACCCCGAGCCTTCACTCCAGCAAAATAATAGAAACATCTTTTATGAAAATCTCCTCTACCACCTCCCACCACCTGCCAGCCCCCAAATGCAACTGCATCCTTGTTCTCACTGACACAGCTGGCTCTTCCAAGAATCCCAATTCATTTACCTTGTAGAGAAGAGCATGACAAATTTATAGTATCACAAGGTTGCCAGTCCACATGCAACATTAACAAGCCAGTTTAGACTTTTAAAGCAGCATTAAATACTCCATGAAGTATGGGGAACTTCACAGTCCATGCTGTCCAGTTAACCCCGTAAATAACCAGTGAAATAAGCAGCACATTTTCACAATTAGTGATATTTGGGTACTTTTATGTTGGACTGCACAGCTCGAGAACTGTGATTCTCCATGTGTGAAGCCCTGGTTGTAAAGAAAACTCACATACCTTCATAGGGTACTTAATTAAGGGGCACCTAGAAGCTCAGGCTGTTTTTGAATAGTAAAGCCATAGTAAGGCCATTGTATACATTGTTTCCCTTTAAGTCACAAGAGAATACAACTATCAGGTTTTTGAGCAAATGCAGACTTACAGAAAACATTAAGATATTTTAAATGTCTCACCATTACACATCTCACCTGTCAGACATGGAAAAATAAAATAAAAGATAGTGTGATTCATAAGAAAACCCAAACAAATGATCTGCTGTCAAACCAGAGTATGCTTCAAACTCTGACACACTGAATGGCAAAGCCATTTCCTTCACTGCCAACTAGCAGAGCAGCACAAATACTGCAAGCTCTCCTTTTGTGGACACTATCATTTCATTAGAGCCAGACAACACCTTAACAAACAACTGCCTTCCAAGTACAGCTCATAAGAACTTCTGTCCCCTCAGCAGACCTCCTGCTAACATATCATACAAGTCTGCACAGTAGCTACAAAGACAGACTGCCTGGGAGGACGTCAGCAAAGCATTTAGGAAATAGCCGTTACTGGGTTATCAGTGGAAGCTACCCACAGGGGAGGGAGGCTCCATTGTTCAGGAAGGTCCCTTATGGTGACACCAGCAGCCACACAGGCTTTACAGATGATCCACAAAATCTTCTGCCACTTCTGTAAAGGAGCAAAAGGGGGACAGACACGCGCAACCAAACTTCTTTTGCACTTCAAGTATTCACACACGAGTCTAACAGAAATACCAGTTTAACTGTGAGCTTCTACAAAGTCCTGAGCTAAGCTGCTCCTGTCAAAAGCTCTTCGCAAGATTCCAGCTCCATTTATTTGGAGTGACGTCCATTACATTGTGCTGTCAAACATCAGACCATAGTCGACACTTCAGGCATGTTGGACTCGGTCCAGCAAAAAGATATGCTTGCATGGAAAGCACTAATACAAGCTGCAAGCTTGCCTGAATAACACAATTACTTTGGGAGCAAGAGGACAATGCCTTAGTCACCCCACCAAAATAGCCAGCATTTCTCTGCTAGAGATCAGCATTTCCTACCATGATAAAAATTCATAAATAAGTAAACCAACCAAGAGATACAAGCTCTGAAATTTCATCAAACTTCCAGTAATGGGGAAAACAGGCAAAAACACCCTGCCTCCCTCCAAATCACATTCCACAAAACCCAGTAATTTAATCACTTGCAGATCAGGATAGAGTGGCATGTCTTTGCTTACTACTTCTGTTGCATCAAGATAGTTAATCTGTTCGACGTGATTAATCTCCTACCAGTACAGCTCCTATCTGTATGATCCTGGATGCTCCTGCCATCCATCTGATGACAAAGCTATTTGAAAGAAGCCTCACTTGCACTTTCATTAATATATGAGCTCTTTGTGGGAACTACATACTCAACATAAAAGCATGTCATTTAAAAGATGTCATTTGAGGAAAGCACACAATACCTCTATAGACCCCCAGCATTACACCTTCTGCATCTTCTAAAGACAGCAGGAAAGCCACATTACCTGGAGCATCAATTCACAGTCATCTCTGCCAACAAATATCATCTCTCTTGGGAGCCGATGGCGAATGCCAGCACTGCTCACCAAGAACCACGAAGTCACACTCATTTTGGCGCTTGGCACTTAATCTTCACACATCCTAAACACACAAAAAAGAGGAACACGTAGTGAGCTGCTATTAAAGTATGGAAGAACATCAGTGCACAGCTGCAGATCCCAAACTTTCCTGAGCCGTGGGAGCCAACGTGGCTGCCTGCAACCTGCGTTTGCATTGATTTTTTTGTGGCCACAAGCAGTGGTGAAGCACGCATCCCATGTGCCGCTGGTAGGAGCCACTGCTCTGCAGCCCTGGACATATTCCCACAGCAAAGTAAGGCTGAGCAAGGGATTTTAAAGATGAAATATGCAGCTGAATCCAACCACTGAAATACCAGAATGTGGATTTAAAAAAAAAAAAACAACAACTTTTCCAAAACATTTTCTGGTAGTTAGCAACTCACAAAACACAGCTCATGATTCTCCATCCTCCAAGACCTGGGCCAAAACATCAGGACGATGACATAACCAGGCTCCACAGCAGACTCTGAGGAGCAGCGACGGCAGTGCTGAGAGCAGAACAGCCTCTTTATAGCTCATCCCACTTCCAGACAGATAAGCTGGGAACCCACAATCGCTTCCTCCCTTCTCACAGGAGCTGATAAAAGCGCTACCAGTGGGTAGCTGCAATTCCCACCGGAGAAATGCAGCATCCCCTTTCCAGAAGGGATGGCAAAGAGGCAGCTCTCACCCGGGGGGTTAAAGCGGCGTTCGGCACTTCTCGGGAGCGCAAAGCCACACCTGTTTGTTGTCGCTGCTACAGGCCGGCAGCACAGAGCACAGCCCTGCTGCCTCTCCTCCTCGCTCTCCCGCAATATCGCATTTTCCTCTCTTCTCTCCGCCTGAAGGAAGAAGGAAAAGCAGCACACGTCAGTGCATCTTCTTTTCCGAGACCGAAGCTGCGTTTCCCGGTGCATCTAGGAGCAGGGCTGGGTCTCCCCAACCCCGCAGCGTGGGGCAGGGCTGCCCCTCGGCGCAGAGCAGACGGAGACGGACAGATGCCGCCGGGCGGCTCCGCGACGCCGCATCCGCACGCGGCTCCCGGCGGTGCGGATCCGGGCGCTTCACCCCGCGGCCCGGCCACGCACCCGGCGCGAACGGCCCCGCTCTCTCCCCGCGGCCCCGGCCGGGCCCGAGCGCTCGGGGAGGAACCGTGCGGGCCGTCAGCAGCGGCGGAGCGCGGAGCTCGGCCCCAGGTGCAGCGCGGAGCCCCCGCGGGCCGAGCCCGGCTCTTTGTCTGCGCTGCGCGGCGCGGCCTCCCCCCTGCCCCGCGCCCTCCCTCCGGGGGAGCCGCCCGCCGCCCTACCTGCTCCGGCCCTGGGCGCGGGGACAGGCCGGGCGCCGCGCCCCGCAGCCGGCTCTGCCCGCTCCCGGCGCCCGCCCCGCCCCGCCCCGCGCACGGCAGGTTCCCGACGTCAGGAGGCGGCCCCAGCGGCCGGGCCGCGCCCGCCTTCCCCCCGCTGCGGCTCCGCAGCTCTGGGCCACGCGGCCTCCTCCTCAGCGGGCGTCGGAACCTTAGCAGCTCCGTCCCGGAGCGCTCCGGTGTGCGCCAGCCCTTCCTCCCTCCTTCTGGGCCAGGTGACCAGGAAATCAGCAAAGAGCTCCACGTGTGAAGAGCGATAACCACTTTTTTTTTCTTCTTTTTTTTCCCCGTCTCAAAGGAAAGCTGAGTATTGCGATAATGCACGTGGCTGCTTCCTAAAGCAAATATTTTTGTGCCCTTAGCTCCAGCAGCAGTCAGTGGGACTGGAAACAGCAACAGCCACACACTGGCTCTGTCTCCACAGGCTGCTGAAGAACATATGAAGGTGTCAAGATCGTAGCAGCACTTGTCCAGGCTTACCTTCCAGACAAAAGGGACATCTTTGCATTTCTGTATTGCATGTTTAATTCTGAATATCACTTCTCAGTCACCTGTAGGAGCTTCCCTAGATGGCTTCAATGCTGTCTTCCAAAAATCTTGTCTCAACAGCATCTGATTATATGGAAACTGTAGGTCCGGTCCATGGTCCTGGGTGGAGCCAGAAGTTGGGCTGGACAGTCCTTGTGGGTCCCTTCCAACTCAGGATGCTCTGTGACCCTATGATTCCATGACACGCAGCATCCCTCCATGGACTTGCTCCTCCTCATGGACAGCAGTAGGACAGATCCTCTGGAAACAGCAGCAGGAAGGGTGAAGCGAGCAACAGCGGGAGCAGGAGGGAGTTAGGAACACCTCCCTCCTCTTTCTAAAGAGCAGTAGAACTTCATTATTGCTTAATGACTAGTATTATTGCCTTCTTTAATCAACATTTGAGCTCTTCTCTGGCAAATACATCTTGCCCAGGGGGTGACTTTAAGGTGTGATTATCTTCAAAGGCCTAAAAGCTGGCTGAGACTGCAGCATTTGTACTTTATTGGAGCGCTCCTGCTATCTCCTTGCAGAGGAGCAACGCAGCATGCCTTGCTGTTCTCTGCATCCCTGGGGTGCCAGGCAGGAGGACAGGGTGAGCAGTGGTCACTTCTGGGCCATTTTAAAGGCTTTTTGCATTGAGATCTGGTATAAACTGATGTAAATCCTTTATGAATAAAAGCAGAATACTTCTTGTTTTCTATCTTGTTCTGTTGTTGAGTCATATCTTATTATTGATTTAATTGACCCATAGTTTAGGATTTTATAAATATTTTTCGCTTCTCTCTGAACTACATCCAGAGATGCTGCTTTATCAGCCAATCCATAGAACAGCTCTATGCAGCTATAAGGAGGTAGGATAATTTACTTCTTTATACAAGCCTGCCATCTAGGCAATTTTTTTCTATAAGTTACTATAAAAAGGTTCGTGATTGCTTTAGTTCCTCTCTGAGCTTGGTTTAACCAATACACGTGTATTTATCTGAGCAGCCAGTGCTTCACTATTTATAGAGAAGAAAAATAGTCCCACGTGTCTTCTGACCTGATTGAAAACACAGTTTAGGCCAATGTGCTAGGCTTGGCTGAATGCTTTGTTACAGCCTCCTAGTTTTATTTCAGTGATCTGGAGGGAATTAAAATATAATAAGGGTTGTCTTCCCTTCTTTCTTCATCACTCCTAAAATAGCATATGGGTGCTGGGGGCTGCAGAACAGCATCGTGCTACACCATTATCTTTAAATCCCATCCAAAAAAATGCATCTGTGGGAAGGAGAAGCTGTTGCTTTGCTTTTTCACTTTTTTTCCCACTGGAACAAGTTCTGTTGGCAGCCTTTGCAACATGTGCGCTGACCTGGTTGACACCAAGGGTTCACCAAACACACAACTGCCTTTGGAAGCGTGATGCTAGTACATAGTTTCCTTAAAACCACCCCTGGTTTTCTCAGTGTGGCAGTTCAGTGCAGACACAAGAATGATATATTTGAAGAAGAGCTGAGGAAGAGTATGGCTGACTGGGAGGGGAGTTTCAAGGAGAAAATGTTGGCATGGAAGAAAGACTGTGAAAATACAGAGGATACATTGAAAATGAAGTTAAGTGATGGCAAGTGTTGAGGGTGCTTGAGTACAGGATACGCTGAGTATCCTGCACAGGGGCAGGACTGGGCTAAGTTGCACATCAAATGTGAAATCCACTCAGGTATATTGTCTGTTGTAAACATTCTCCTGCCATCATTATTACAGTGCTTTCAGCCCTATTCCTTAAACAGTGGGGAACATTACTTACATTCAACAATTAAAATGCCCCTGCTCTGACCTCATCAGTCCATGGGCCCAGTCTGCCTCCAATTGCACTGGGGAAACGTGTACTGCTGCAGGGCAGTGAGGCAGCCACCCAGGCATGTAAGGAGAAGGGAAGGCTCAGGAAAGACCTGGAGAAGTTGGATGCAACAGCAGCATAGTGCAGCCTGTGTTTGCAACAGGTGGTGCTTATCATGCAAATCTCTACATTACTCTAGAACAGTCACCTTCAACTCCAAGGGGCATGCCTGTGGCTGTATGAACCTGCACAACCCAAGCTGCAGGAGGTTCACTGCACTGTACATCGTGCAGGTGCAGGGTAAGGAGCAGTTCCTGTCCCAAAGCTTTGGCTCGTATTCCCAGGAAACAAAGAGAGGGAAAGTGAGATGAAATCTCACCGAAAGAATAACAGTGGGTCATAGGCCTGTTGAAAAGCCTTTTTTTTTGTAACCAGAACTGTTGAATCTAGATACAAAGATCATCTTTTTTACTGAAATATCTTTTGTCTGACACTCTGAGCCCATGGTTATCATGGCCTGGACCAGAACGACTTTAGTTCCCTACTTCAAAACAAAGATCCTGCCACTCCCAAAGGAGCTGAATTAGATCAGGCTCTTTTTGCCAGGTTCTGATGTCAGGGGAGTCTTGACAGAGTTCCCAAACGTGAAGCATCTTGCCACATCTTGCTGCAGAAAAGGCTTCTGTTCCAGGCTGATCATAGCCTAATCCAGATACACCATGCAGATTCCCCCCCAGAATGATAATTTTTAATGTGAATGGGATAAGTGAAAGAAAAAATATTATTGCTTAGGTACTCACATGGTGGTTAGCTTGTAAGCAAAGATGTAAGAATTGCTGGGGGGACTCTGCCTGAGGAACCCATCACATGCTGCCTGAAATCAGGTACATGCAGTAGCATGCACATATGTTCACAGGCACGTGTACAGCTTATGAATTCCCAGCTGCTTTGCATCAAAGGTATTGCAGAAGGAGTCATCAGGCACTGTTCCGCAGGATTATTTCATTTGCTCTTCACTAACTTACTTGAGATGCATCAGGAAGGGTTCATAAGTAGGTCACACAGGCTTCCCTAATGCTCTTCTTCACTCTGATGATTTCTGCTCCCATGTGATGACTTTCTATCCCAGAAAGCAAAAAACTGCATCAGGGCTGGTTCTTCAGGCCCTGCTGCAGGGAGCTGGAAGTACTTCTGCTCTACACTTCAGTGTTCTCCCTCTGGACCAGAATTCCTGGTTTCATTTTTAATGCCAGCTGCAAAGATCTGTGGACTTTTGGAAGAGGACAAAGCAGGTCTGAACCCATGTCCTTCATGCAGCAAATGGTGCCATTGCCTGCTAACAGAGAGTACAGGATTGGGCCCTTCCTGTAGGGCTTAGGACCAATGCCTTTCATCACTAATTCTGAATTTCAGCCCAAGCTCGTTCACCACAGAATGCAAATCATCTCCCTTCTGAATATGCACTTTGCAAATCGTCTGCCTTCTGAATATGTTCTTTTAAGTATCATTTTGAATGTCTTTGCCTTGATTTTTCTTGTTTATTTCTGATTGATTGATTTGTCTTTTAATTGCAAGGTATTTATCTGCGCATGGATGTTTATCTTCCGTTTAGTAACGCTGGCGTAACAACGTTACTGAATCCTGATTCATATCAGCAAGAGCAAAGCAATTCTGCTCCTCCTCTCTAAGTATCAATCTTTCGCTCTGCCAAATGTATTGGTTGTGCTGTTTGCCAACATTCCCTTCTTCTGTGCAGCCAGCAACAGGCTGCAGAGCTGCCCAGTCAACTGGAAGACAATGGCACCATTCATGTGTGCAGTTATTCACTTGGACAAATGTTTGCAGAGATACAGTCTGACTGGGACAGACGTCTTGTTTGAACACTTCTAAAGGATGGAATTTTACAACACTAATGTTTTCAATTCATTTATTAAAGTGTAGAGGCAGATTCTTAGCATGATCATAGTAGTATCGCTCAAAATGGCTTCACTTTGGCTTCCTTGCTTTTTACCAGCTTGAGAGCTTTTCCTGTATTTCTTCATCCACAGCATAATCTCAAGTACCAACATGACATTTACTTTTAGTACAGTGAAATTTATTAAAATAAAACCTTCTATGCATTAACACTTCTTTTCATTATGTGCAGTATGGCCTTCTCTAGTCATCCTGCTTTATTCCCCCACTATGCCACAGAAATTATTTCATTTTTATTACGTAGATTAAATCATAGAGCGATATTCAATTTATGACCCTCGTTACATGAGTCGGGGGGCCAAGAAGAAATATCAGTGCAATAAAAGAGTGGAGCTGGTAGAGCATGAGCATTGTCAGAATGTCTCATCTAGGATTCGTGCGGTATAAAACTTTATCGAAAGACTTAAAGCATATGCTTAAGTGATCTTATATTTGGCATTTTTAATTAGTGAAAGCTCAGCAATGAAGATGTCGTGCTGCCTGATGAGATTAGGTCAGATGATACATGGCTGTGTGGTGTGGCATCTTAAATAGGAACCACCTTATGGCAAGTCAGAGCTATTTTGATGTCACATTTAAAGAAATTGCTTCTCAGGGAAAGTTGATTGGTTTCATAAGAGAAGCAGCAGGGTTTTGAGGATCCCTGTGTGGGAGAATGGGGACAATGGGCAGCCTCAGATCATCTCTATTTCAGTTTCTTTTCTCTTATTCATTCACTTTATATGTGTGTATGTGCATACTTGTTATGAGGAAGTTTGCATACATTTTTAAACAGAAAAATGACTTTATGTGGCGTGAAGAATCCAGTGCAGCACACATGGCCAGGAAGCTGTATTTTGCCCTCCAAAACATGAGCAAATTCCTTCTCCTGTTCCTCTGTGTTTTTGATTATAATGGTAAGGCATGAACTTTTGGTTGAATACCAGAGAGGCAACATTTCTTTTATCAGTTTTGCTCCAGTACCTCTGCTTTTCTTTTTCTTCCTTTTCTCCTTTTACTCCACTCATGCATTTGCACACTTTCAGACTCAGGCTGAGTTTTACTTTGACAGCACATCCATGGTAGAGACTGTTTCAGGAAGATGATCCTCTACTGCTGTGTCCCCAGAGTCTGCCTGTTCAGAAGATACTTGATGGCACTTCATCACTTGGATAAATATCAGGAACATCCTTTCCAGGAAAATCTTGATATTTACCTCATGGAATCCATTTGATTGATATTTCTGAAAGAGATCATAGAATCATAGAATCATGGAATGGCCTGGGTTGAAAAGGACCACAATGATCATCTAGTTTCAACCCCCCTGCTATGTGCAGGTCACCAACCACCAGACCAGGCTGCCCAGAGCCACATCCAGCCTGGCCTTGAATGCCTGCAGGGATGGGGCATCCACAACCTCCTTGGGCAACCTGTTGCAGTGCCTCACCATCCTCTGGGTGAAAAACTTCCTCCTAATATCTAACCTAAATCTCCCTTGTCTCAGTTTAAAACCATTCCTCCTTGTCCTATCAAGGATGAAAATCCCTATTCGAATTTAAGCATCAGTTTAAGGAAAACTGAGACTGTCATTCAACTGCAGCTGATTTATGAACTGCACAGATTTCTCCCTTGTCTCAGAGACCAGACTTAGAAAGTACACAACAGGTGAATGAGACCTCATGAAAAAAGAGAAGACGCTCCTGTACATTGTTATCAAAGTAATGTATTACACAGGAAATCCAGGATTGTTGAAATTTCTTTGCTGGCCTTATAAACAATGCAAATAAAGAAGGGAGATTTTTAGGTTACAGTAGATTGCTGCTTCTCTAGAGGACTCTGTAGCAAGTAGCATTTGCTCTGCTAACTGATACTAGATCACACCGTTCATGTTTAATGAAAAGGTCAGTTCTGCTTGAAACTATCTTATTGGTTTGTTGCATTCTATTGCACTATACTTTTTGCATGTAAGATGGAAAGCTTTGATGGAATATCTAACATAGATAAAAGAAAATATCACAATTCCTTTAAACTGAAGAACATCTCTACTGTAATATCCACTGCAGAGATGAAGGCCTTACAGGGAGAGAAGTTTCTTAATTTGTTGTCCTGCAGAGAATAATTTACTTGGAGATTCACCCATTTTCTGTCTGGTGGAAGTTAAACCATATCCTTCTGTATTGATCTTCAGCACTGTGCTTCCATCAATTGACATCGGTGGGGAATGATATGAATATGGATGAAAAGATCATCAGTGTCAGGACGAGCCAGCCTCTTCGATGGGGTCAACTGGGGGAGCAGCTTTAATTATTTATAGCATGCAAGCCATCGGCTGGAGATTTATATGCTTGCCAGGCATTTTAAAAGAAGTCATCAGAGTAATATTTCTTTCTTTGGGGGAAACAGTTGGATTAGCAGCACCATAGGAGTGAAAAAGCCACCAGAAGGAGACCAGCAGAGCAGAATTTTCATGATGTAGGAGCGGCGGATTGATTACTTGCAGGTTCTTAAAAGATTCAGGATACTTTGGGATAATCTTCTTTAGTCACCAGGTGCATGAACTCCCGTGTTCTCCAAATTCATTGAATCATCTTAAAACCTTGCAAAGTACGTGTGCCTGCTAAATACATGCACATGCTCAGCACTGTGCTTTTCACCAAAGGTTTCATAAGCAGAAGCTTCATCTGCTTCAGGTAAACAGAGCAATTCCTACTGACACAAGCTAAGGCAAGCCAGGCATAAATTGTGGTATTGTTTCAATGCATCCAACCTGGTCTAGATGACACAAGAGTGCAAGGTATGTTCATATTTTCCAGGGTATTTTCATCATGAGAAAGCTAAGTCCTGAAAACAACTTGTGGGTACGTGAGATGACGGGCAGAGGAAGGCAAAGTGACACCTGAACAAGAACCAGAGGTACCACATTGCTGGCTGTCTGGAGCCTTTCAATATCTATCATATGGCATGGGTGCCCATTAGGAGATAACAGCACTGTCTGACTGCCATTGTTACATCAGTTTGTTTGGGGGTAAGTTGCATTTTCTGCAGGAAAATCTTCAGGAGAAGCAGCTCTCAATTGATTGAGTCTGGTTACTGCAGGCAGGCAGGGCCATGTTGTATTTCACTGGCCAGGTCACATGTTGGAGGGTTTAGAAGCTCTCAGAGAAGGGTGCAGCTGTCACCAAACTGCTTCTCCTTTCCCTGGAGTGGAGCAGATTTGTGCACATTTTTTTCACTGATTTGTGCTTTTCTGTAGCACCAGTTCAAGAGTTCCAGAGCAGCAAGGAGGCAGGTGTATCACCAGCAAATAGTGCCTCTGAGGAAAAACAGCAATCCCTGCTGGTCACATGCCTAACAGCCAATTGCTTAAAGATGGGAATGGATTATGCTGCTAAATATCACTAAGGAGGCTGTTGCCAATACTTATGCAACACATCACAGTGCAGAGGCTTTTCCATGGCACATCACCTCCTCTCTCCATCTTGTCTAGCTGCATTGTGTCTTCCCCCTCGCTGCTGTAGGCCAGATTTCTCCTCTTGGGATCTTAAAGAAACGTCCTTGAGCTTTCTACCCACACACTGTGAGTTGAATTTAAATACAGAGACATTCATTAGCTCTGCATTGTCTTAATTTCTCATTCATTCTCAAGAGTTATCTTCTTCACTCTACATTTTAACATTAGGGGTTTCTCAGTGCCTGGGTTTGCATATCCATTACCTCCAACACTTGGTGGAGATTAGAGGAGCAAACACAGCACAGGACCTAGGTCCTCCAAGTGGTGTGCTTTGAGACTGGCCTGCATACATTGTACTATACACTGAGCTGCTCAGCACTGCTAAAACATAAATCATCATTCAGCAGAACCTAATGTATACCTGGAAAAGATGGAAATCAAATCCCTCCAAGATCCTAGGTAAACTGGAATAACTTATTAGAATTTTAAAAACAAAGGCAATAAAGTGAGGAGGGGCAAGAGATGGTATAGTTAAGGCTGATTGTGTTGTCTGTAATTTCTTTTTTTGTTATAGCTTGTAATAGCTGAACACACCAAAAAAAGCAATTAAGCAACATCTTTGACTCCAATAATCACATTTATAAGAAGCCATCTTATTAACATGAGGAGAAGATGAACAGGAAATTCTCCAGCTTGTGGCCTGACTGGTCCTGTGATCTGTTGTTCAGCACTAAGCTGATTGCCTGGGACACGTCTGGACAGGGAGAGGAGCCGAGGTTAACCGCGCAGAGCTCACTGTGCCTTTCACAGTGAATTCAGCAAAGTTTATGCAAATATATTCTGCACATACTTGAAGGGAGGGTAAAGAGCAGTACAGTACTGGACTGGTGGGACAAAAGGACATTTGAAATTTCCAGTTAATACTTGAAAGTGTTTTGAAGAGTGCACTGACCACGTTTGCCAGGTTTCTTTGTCCCTGAAGGACAAATGTCTTGCAGAAGCATGGTTCATGTTTTCTCTCCCCCATAATGGCCACAACAGCTTTCCAGGAGATGACATTTCCTGCTTTAAGGCAAAACCAAACCAAAATGCAGAACAACATCCAGAAAGCCTATGTTTTAAAATATGCTTTTTGTTTGTCCTTAAGGGGGACAGAATTGGAGATCAAGAACAACAGTGTGATTCCTTGCACACTGCAGAGCCATGCACACAGTGGATAGGAGGAGAGCGCAGCACTTGCACAGCCGGGCACTCCCAGCACATGAACCTCTGAGTGCCAGGAGTATCCAGGAAGAGAGCAGTCTGTGTGATGTAACCCAACCCACATGAATGGAAGTCGGCACCTTCAGAGCCCTAATCACAAGATCCGGTCACATAGTCATTAACTGAGAGAGCACTGATGTCAGCGGCCATCAGGCGCTGCCTCACTCTGCAGGTTTGTAGGTCTGTGCCATTTCTGAGCCGTGTTATCAAAGTTAATCCATTTTCTTCCATCTCTGTGCTGCAGCTGGTTAATTTTTTACATTGGAAGCACTTAGAATGGATGGTGCCTAGAAACCAGCTTTTAAAAACATCAGATGAAAAATGCCCGCAGTTGTAAAACAAATTTAAGGCTTAAGGAGAGTACAGTGCTGCCTGTCACACTAATTTAAATCTTGAACTGCAGCCATCTTTACCTTTAACAAAATCAGTAAGAGCATACGCTGTGTCAGCCATTGCCCATTTCAATCTGAAGTCATGTTGGCATCCAGAAAAAAAGATAGCAGCATCCTGGGAGGCTGCATTCATCCCTGAGCAGCCTTCAGGATTTCATTGCTGCAGTCTTGAACAATCAAGTGCTAAGTCAGTCACGGGGATTTCAGATAGAGCAGGGCAATAAGCTGCCTTTTGGCTCTAGTTTACATGTAAGCTGGTACTTGTTTCAGAAGCACGAGCATCACAAGATGGAAGTGGTCAAATTGTTGATGTTGATGTGAAGGTGACTGAGGTGTTCAATAAATATTTTTGTTCAGACTTTGGAAACAAGAAGAATCACGCACTGATGTCATGAGGAGACAATGCACTTTCCATCCCATTAGTAACCAAGGAGGTTATTAAACAGCATTACTGGGGATAAACATTATTACCTTAACAGGTCTGTGCAACTGTCACCCTCACAACCAGAGTGAATTGGCTCAAGGGATCTCTGCTCCTCTCCCAGTTCATCTTGGAGGACTTCAGACATTTTACAGGATTGGAGAAATGCTGCATTTGGACAAACTGATAAAAAAATAACTAGAGCAGCTAAGTCATTCTAAGCCAGTTAGCATAGCAATTCTGGGCAAAGTAATGAAATACTGATATAGAAGTCAACAAATGAAGGGTGTAAATAACAGAGATCAACATGATTTATGGGGAAAAAAGGTCTTGTGAAAGAAGGTTGACTTTCTATTTTCATGAAACTATCAGTTTGGCTGACAACAGCAACTAAATAGATACAAGACATTTGCCTTTTGTAGATTGTGCAGTGCTCTCATTGTAAGTTAAGGCAGTAGCTAGTAACTTAGGAAGTAAGTGAATTAAGAACTGAGTAACTGGCAAATCTAAACTGAAATGCGACTCTCAGTAAGGAGTTGGCAGGAATCAGAAGTGCAGCCAGGTTCTGATACTACACCCAACACCACTCAGCTTTCTTTCCTAAGGTGAGCGCGTTGTGCCCTTCGTGTAAAATGGACTTCACTTAAAAAATGACGATGTTACAGTTTGTAGGAGTCACTGCTAAAGCCAGTTTCTACCACTGCCTCCTCTGCAAC